CTTTATAAAATTTTATTTAATTTTACATAGTTCTCATTTCTTGTGCAAAAAATAACTTAATTGGAAAAAATTATAATATTTAGGACCAAGCTGAAGAGCTTAGAACTATGAATATCAAATTGTCAATTAATGAAAGATGAGAGACCAGAACAGTCTTACCAATGAAGCACCAAAATTGCATTTTGGTCCAAAATCTCCGACATGGATCCTGTCTTCACGAAAGAGTAAAGGCGTCGGTACTTATCCAGGATCAGAATTCAATTGACAGCTGAGGGGAGTGTTTGGGAGCTTTTGACCGCCCCTTTGTAACACTCTTTTGAAATCAATATAAGAAAAGGATGAAACAAGAAATTTATTATTAATAAAAGATTAAAAATTTTAAGTTTCTTGAATTAAATTTTATTTTTTAAATTATTGTTATTTGTTAGTAATTGATATTTTTATATTTATAATTATAATTATTGTTGTTGACTTTTTTTTAATTAGCAATATTATATTATATTCTCATTTATTTTTATATGTTGTATATTTGAATTTTAATTTAACAAAAATCAAAATAAGTTAACATGATTTATGCAGTATTGGTGATAAGTAGAGTTAATTTTTTACATAAATTAGGGAATTTACAAAATATAATATTTCTTTATCTATTTAAATTCACATAAAAATATAATAGGTTAATAAATGAAAATAAATTTAGTATAACTTGATAAAATTTATAAAATAAAATAAAAAATTTTGCTGTTACATGAGTTACAAATATTATGAAAGTATAATAACTTAAAATTTATATTGATTAATTATAGTGAAGTCGAGAACCTTAATACCTTATATCTTGGTGCTTTTATTTCAAATTGTTATTTTATTTTAATTACTTTATCAATCTTAAAATAATTGTTATTTTTTATTTTAAATTTATCTTAAATTAATTGTCATTTTTTCATTTTTTAAGATAGACAAATATTTTGTTCTTATTTTAAATCTATCATTATTTATTTAGTTTAATTAATCATTCAATTGCATAATTTTTTTTGTCTTTTAGTTCTTTTTAAAAAGTATTCTAAATATAAATATAAATATTGTCTCAAATTCTTAATTTAGAGGAAAAATAAAAAAGTGATAGTTATTTTGAGATAGAGACAATAATTCTGGTTAAAATTTCTTCTTTTTTAATTGTTTAAATGATTTTAAAAGTAATTATTTTTAGTATTTAATTAATCATAATCTTTATGAAAA